AACATTTGTATTTCCAGTGCTCTTTTTCTATATCTACTGTCCAGAAGGTATTTCCCTCACATTGGACTATGTGACAGGGGAGGGTTGGCAGGAAGGACTGGAGGCCGCTGTAGGACTGCTACAACTGTGTTCACTTGGTTGACTTGTCTGGGTTCTACTGGTGAGTGAAACCCGGGGAGAAAGGTGGAAAGGGTATATGGAGGGAAGAGTCCTAATTTCGAAGGCTTTGTTGATTGGCTCAGACAGATTTTGGAGTTAAAGATTGCAGGGTCCCCTCACATCGCTGCTGCTGTCATGATAAAACCGCTCTGGTATCAGAGATAAAGGGTCTCTTAGCTGTTATGAATCTCCTGGTTCTGGTTCCCCCCTGTTGCTGCAGAATGGTTCCCTCTCTGTGGATGGCGGCTTGTTGGTGGTATTTGTATAGGGTTTATATTTGTGTTGTTTGTTTCTGCTGTAAGAAAAGACATTGGGTGATGGGTTTGGGCTGTGGGATCTCATGCATGGATGTATATGTTCTGTGTAATGGGTATAGATCACATTGGTGTCTTGGATTCTTTTGATGCAACAAAATCTCCCTTATTCATATAAAAATACTGATTGAAAAGAGTGGCAGCTTGGCAGGTGTCCACCATTATCAGCAATTCCTTGAATCTACATCAATGAATTATGCAAATAATAACTACGTATCTCAAACTGACAACAAACCATGCTGTCAAACTTGAACAGAGTGAAACCTATCAACATAGCAATTATCTGTAGTCATATTTAATGATAGAGGCCGAGCAAACTGGAAATATCACATGGCACTGAATCATCTAATACAGCATGTTTTATTACCTATGCTTCTCCTTCATCTGCTTCACGGCATCAGCTAGATCATGACTTTGAAGCTCTTCTGAGTCCTGGAATTTTAAGAATTCATCTCCTCCATGACCAGTCATATACAGAAGAATGTGACTCCCTTCATCACTAAGGAGACGCTTTGACCTGGGAACAGCAGACTCATGCCGCCCAGTGAGAACCCGCAAAAAATTCTCCACTGTCACTTCATAACCTCTATAATCCACCTGAGAAAATTGGAACTTGGTAAGATCCAGTGTTCATTATAATAGGATCAACATTTTCAAAATCTTTGAGCATTTCTCAAGTACATGCTCCAAATCTGAGATATCATATTGGATCAACAGCTTTAGCCTTAGTGGGCTTAACAATCTGTAACATTTAATGGTTAATGGCAGTTGCAGTAAATTAACAACTTCCATGCAAAAAATCAAAATCTTTCATTATCCAGAACCCCTGGAAGTAAAGGTTTATCACATAATCAACTGAAAACCCACCAACCTCAACATTATCACCATACAAATTGAGCCAGTGATTCTCATTGTTGAAGACTTGGGCAGGGTACTTGTTCCTGGAATTGCAAGCCATGTCATCTGCCAACATCAGTATTATCCTCTCATCTGGAATCCCAAGCCGCTTAACTGTCCTGAGTAGCCATTGAAATGCAAATAGATAAAAATTAGTTTAGCTATACAAGCAATTGCTACGAGAGAAGGAATAACCAAGCTTACCTATACAAGGACAAAGTATTAGCCATATGCCTGTAGTTAAACCTGGAAAAGGGGAAATACCGATTCAATCAATTCCATCCTTGAACTAGTACATAAGCAGTGGCAAAAATGGAGCAGAGAGAAGCTTCGGCCGAGATTGGCAGCAAAAAGGGAAGTAACGAAATGCAATACTAGGTTGAATTTGTGATTAAAACTGAGATTGAAGAGGGTAAAGAAGAGGCTGGGAAGTTCAGGAACTTGATTAAATGAATGGGAAGAAATGAGGGCGGAAGCAGCAGAAGAAGTTGCGGAGAAGAAATTACCAGAAACGAGAGGTGCAGACCAAGACAGCCCAGTTATTGGTGTGCATTGTAGTTTCACTTGAAGAACCAGATGCGTCGGCGGCAATCGAACTGCAGAGCCAAATTGAGGCCAGAATCGCCACTACCGCCGACGAAGCAGCCATTTTCCGACTCGAAGCCGCGTCTGGGAGTTTGGATCGCATCGGAGCTGAAATTCTAAGTCAAGGGCAAAATCCAATCTCCAGGATTCCAATTCGTTCTTCAAACCTATGGCGGATCTAAAAGCATCAAACTTTGGCAAAAGCATCGAAGTTTTTCGAAACTGTCTGCTGTGCTGCACAAGAACTTGGTTTATAAAATCAGCTGCTGGCGGATGTTTTCCTATGCTATTTGCCGCTTGTAGTTATAAAAACGGTTATAGGTATAATATGTCCTTTTATGATGTTTTATCAAACATATCACTCTACTATTTTTTTATATCAAACAGCTTCTGTATTTTGGAAAAACTTATCAAACATGTCATTTTGTTAAAATTTTCATCCAAAAACCGTTAACCAAGACCGAACTTTGGTTTGGGCAACCCAAATATCTGGGCTAAGATCTGGTGACTAAGGGGGGTCCCTTAGTCACATGGCTAAGTGAATCTCCACTCTTGCACCTCATTAAAATCCAAGGGCTCCTATTAATCCAATTTAATGAAGGGCAATGTAGTAATTGTATGTTTATTTTTAATAATTATAAAAGAAAAAAAACACAGCGCCGGCTGTCCGTCCGTCGCGTCGCCTCCCCGTCTCCGTTCATTGCGCGGCCAGGGGAATTCCTGGGGGCGCCATTATTTCCATGGGGAATTTCCCCGGAGAGTTTCTGTGCGGCCATTGTGCCATTATTCCAGAGAGAGAGAGAGAGAGAGAGTTTCTGGTCGGAAATTTTTTCCTGGCGACCATCGTGGACGGAGAAGAATTTCCGGCGACAGTGCCAATTTTGTGATGTTTGTTGACATATTTTGTAATGTTTGTACACTTTGTTATTTTGTAATGTTCGTAACTTTGTTATTTTTGTGCACATGTTTGTCATTTTTGTCCACCATGTTCGTATTGTTTGTATGTCTAAAAAAACACCCGAGTTGACTTTGGGAAGGAGCCCCTCTATATAGGGATGGAGCTCCAAAGTCAACCCGGGTGTTTTTTTCCCGTTAGTATGGATTGTCGGTCTAGTTGTCATTTTTGTCCACCATGTTCGTACTGTTTGTATGTCTAAAAAAACACCCGGGTTGACTTTGGGAAGGAGCCCCTCTATATAGGGATGGAGCCTCGAAAGTCAACCGGTTGTTTTTTTTCTTTTGTATGGTTTATTGTTTGTCGGTCTAGTTTGTATTGTTTGTACAGTTCATGACGTTTGTAATGTTTGTAAATCTGTTTGTATGTTTTGTCGCTCTAGTTTGTACTGTTCGTATGTTTGTGATGGTTTGTACTGATTGTAAATCCGGTTTGTATACTTCGTAATTTTCCATAATACCCAAACTACCCTGTCATTAATTAAATAACCCTTCCCACTTTTAACCATTGGATTGAAGTGTCCTGATCTAAGGGCTGGGAGAGGCTTAGTCAAGTGACTAAGCACCCCCCTAGTCACTGGATCCGCTCTCCAAATATCTAATATATTCCTAATAATTTCACTTTGAAGTTTTTTGTTCTTTTGTATAGCCAAATAATTCTAATAATTTCACTTTGACGAGACCTAGAGAAATAAAACAAGGGTCAAAACTGACATTTCTCTCTCATTTATCGATGTTAGGTCGTCTAAATCTCTGTTCAACCATGATTGACGATTTTTTCAATGGAAATTTCAACTGAAGGGCATGTTTGATAATTTTTCCAAATTACAGGGGCATGTTTGATGTAAAAAAAGTAGAGGGGCATGTTTGATAAAACGTCATAGTAGAGGTAGTGATGGCAATTTCAACCTGCCCCGCGGGTATTACCCGACCTGACCCGCGATGGGGCGGGTATTACCGACCCGCAGTAGCGTGGGGCGGGGCATGGGTATCTACTACTTCCGACCCGCCCGTTCTAGACTCATTTTATCTCAATTTCTTACAATATCTATACATGTTTTCTCCTATTTTGACTTTCTTCAACTAGTTAGAGTCGATCTTTCAACTTGTTAGGCTCAATTATCCATTCTATTATCAATATTTTTTCATTCTAAAGTGTTTTTCCATACTTTTTGTAAAAAGTAAATTTACTTGTATTTTTTTTTGAACAACATGTAAGAGTGGGTCGACCCACCCCGCCCCGTACCCGCGCGGTTTTACCCGCCCCGACCCGTTGTAGCGTGGGGCGGGGCATGGGAATTGAGGTACCCGCCCCGCCCCGCCCCATTGCCATCACTATATCCTTATAAAAAATAGGGTTAATAGCATTCTATATCCCTCTACTATTGCAAGTTAACAATCATACCCGTCTACTATGTTTTTTGCACAAATGTACCCCTCAACTATCTAAACATAACCACACATGCCTTCTGTCACTATCTCCATTAAGTGACCGTTAAAACACGAGGAAAATGACTACAATATCCTTTCTTTAATATAATTATTATTCCATCAGAAAATAGAAGGAATCTATGATGCAATTCATCCCAAATTAACACTCCCAAATTGGATGCAAACAAATTCCTAGCTGTTGCCCTTCTTTTTCCTCGATAGAATCTGCCTGAATCTAGAGACTATAATTGTGATGACGAGAGAAGGAAGAAGGTTGTCGGCTTGCGACGGCAGGTAAATGCAACAGGTGACGCAATGATGACGGGCGCAGAACTCCTTATAGTTTTGGGACAAACCGAACTCAGGAGATAAGCTTCAAATGAGGGAAGAGAGAACCAGGATGTGTCGAGAGGGCTACCAGAGGCTGAATGGTCTCTTCAATCAGAATAGAATAACCTCTTCCCAGTTCGGCGGACGGCTGAAAGAGACGATGGTCCAAGCTGAAGCATCTTTCTTCTGGAAACAAAGGCTAACGGCTAGCAGCAGAAAAGAACGTAGAAGAAAAACGAAGGAGAAGAGGGAGAAACGTTTCACCTACACGATGTCGTATCATGCTTTAGTTGTTTACATTTAAATTAACGTTAATGTAATAAATAGACAAATGGGCTGAGACACGTGGCAAGCTCAGTTTAAACCTCAGCTAAAGTACTGTATACGTTATATATATATGAGGCAAAGAGGAAGCCTCAATCTTCTGAGGGTTTCCGATCCATTTCTGCTTGCTCTGTACAGTTTTCTTCATGGTATCAGAGCCTGGGCTCTAACGACGTTTCTTGCAACGATGTCCGGCACCACGTCGCAGAATTCTCCGGGCACTCCTCATCGGAATGCATCTGCTCCTGGAGCTGGATTTCAGTTTGGGTCCTTCATGCATCATCAGAGCAGGGTAACAGAGGTGAGATCCCCTTTGGAAACCCTATTATCTCAATCCGAATGAGAATTTGTCACAGTCCATCGTTCCTGTTGTCTTCGATGGTTCCAATTACCCTTTGTGGAGTAGATCTATGCGTATGGCCCTGAAAACCAAACACAAATTGGGTTTCGTTGATGGGTCGATTTTAGCTCCTGCTTCCACAGATCCAATGTTCTATTTGTGGATGGCTGTAATACCCTTGTTCTCTGCTGGATTCTTAATTCTTTGCAAAAGGATATTGCTCGTAGCTTGATGAGTCATGAGAATGCTCGAGTTCTTTGGGAAGAACTTCGTAAGCGTTTGCTCCTCCTAACTCTTTGCGCATCATCAATCTGGAGGACGAAATTATTGCTTGTACACAAGGGGATCTGTCCATTCTTCAATATTATACGAAAATCAATGGGTTATGGGAAGAGTATCAACAATTTTCCCCCATTGTTCCTTGCACCTGTGCCCCTGGCAGCAATGTTACTTGTGTTGCTGTTGCTGCTTTTTAAGTCTAAACAGGAAACCGACTATCTTATTCGCTTTCCTCGAGGTGTTAACAAGGATTTTGAGGTTGTTAAAACTCAATTGCTCTTAATGAAGCCTTTGCCTCTTGTGTCTGATGCTTTGGATGATCTGCTTCAACACGAGCAGAAGCTTAAGGGTGATTCTTCTGGTCAGCGAGGGGGGCAGTCTGTTGCCTTAGCTGATGGGAGAGTCGTCCTCGCTGGAAATCAGACTCTGATCAGTCCACTCGACCTCGTGGGAAATCAGACACTGATGGTGAACGTCTCATTTGCAACTATTGCAAATGTCCTGGTCACGTAATTAAGGATTGCTGGAAGTTACAAAGGAAAGAAAAGGGAAGGAAGCTGGTATGGTGGCTGCTGTGTCTCAAGAAAGACATTCTTCTGAAGGCAGTGTAATCTCTGATAGTAACTCCAATTCTACTTCGCCTCAGTCCAACTTGGGTTTATCTGTTGATGATATTAACAAGTTGAAGAACTTCCTTCAGTTTGGTATGGATTCTGACCCTACTTCACCTAGCTCTCCTCACATCAACAACAAGGCATTCTCTCTCTCAGTTTTTACCACAATTCCCTAATAATGCTGGTAAGTACGTTCTTTCTTCTCACTATGAGTTGGATAAGTTTGCCTTAACCAGTGTGTGGATTTTGGATACTGGGGCTTCAGACCATATCACATGTTCCTCTTCTCATTTCATTGCCTCTACTGCTGTGTCCAATGTCTTTGTCTACCTCCCTAACACCGCCAAAGTAGCTGTTAGTCACATTGGCACTGTCAACACCCATCTGGCCTCTTCTGCACAATGTGCTTCTTGTCCCTAGCTTCACTTTCAACCTCATTTCTGTCAGTAAGCTTACTAGTGACTTACCAGTCTCCTTACACTTTCACTCTACTGTTTGTGACATCCAGGACCTTCTGACCCAGAAGCAGATTGGTTCGGCAAACCAGCATAATGGTCTTATCATCTACATCCCTCTTTCCCTCCTTCAGCCACACATTCCCCTACTCCTCAAGCTGCTGTCACTTACAATTTCAGTTCTCAGGATGTCAATCTTTGGCATTGCGCTTAGGCCACCCTAGTAAAGATCGTTTCCATTTACTTCAGACTCAAAATTCCAATGTAACCAGTGAATTTGTTCATCACTGTGAAGTTTGTCACCTGTCTAAACAGAAAAAGTTGCCATTTCCTGTAACCCCTCACTCTGCCAACATGGCTTTTGCTTTGGTTCATGTTGATATTTGGGCCCCTTATCCACTAAGTCCTATGATGTTTGCTTACTTTTTAACCATTGTCGATGATTACACTAGATATGTATGGATTTACCTTATGCAACATAAATCTGAAGCTCGTGGATTGTTACAAGGCTTCTGTTCTTTAGTTG